AAAGTTTAAATATTTTATTTATATATGTATATAAATAAAATAAAGGGTGATATATATATCTATATCTATCAAGGCAGCTTATGGTAAGCGGTTGTATATATATTTTTTTAAACTATATTTATAAATATTTAGTCTGGATCCTGACTGAACTAGGTAACTAAACCAGTGGATTTTATATAGCTATATAGATAAAATCTACTGGTTTAGTTACCTAGTTCAGTCAGGATCCAGATTAAATTTTTCCAGTTTACTGCCACTGAAAAGAAAATGTTGGTCCTCCATCATGAATGCGATCATGATTCTCTTTAAAATCATGGAAATGATTAGATGTAGTTATACATTTTAAATAAACTTAAAATGGGCTTGTATGCATATCTAGCTTTTTCCAGAGGTGGGTGAGAACACACATGGCACTGATCTTCATAGGATGCTGCAACAGGTTTGAAAAATGAGTTCCCAGTGATTCAAAGATAGATGTAGCAACCTTATTATATCTAAAACCTTTGTTTTTTATCACTGAGATATTTTTAAAAATTCCTTGCCTGGAAATGTTATGGACTAGTTTGCATATGGACCTCAACCCTCCTCTTATTTCTCTGCTTGTTTAAGCCAATATACATCTTTAAGGGACAACTTCCATTCTTACCTTCTGATAAAGTTAGTGCAGTAGCCATGAAGTCATCGGGAAGATGTTTTGTACCATATTGAGTAATATACCATTCACTGTTGCATCACACAAAGACTGACTGTCTTGGGGATGACAGTGTGCCAACATTTCAGTGAAGTACTGTAAATGTATGGGTTTAGGAAAGCAACAATACTGATACCTTACAAACTTTACACTCATCCCCTCAGCTGATATTAACTGTTATATCGAATGTACAAACAGGTTACTATATACTCTTTGTCTTCATCCTTTTACTACTTCCAGTACTTAAGAGGCTGTCCAGTTCCTTTTGGTTACATTAGTAATTTAATAAACAGCAGTTGGTAAATGTAGCATCTTGTGGGACCTCCAATACTTCACTCCCCTCCAGTGTAAAGTTAAGCTACAGATAGTGGCTTTTCCCAGGATTATATACAGTATTTAAAGTGACAGAATATTTCATCTTGTTTCATTTTATACATACTGTATTTCTCCAAGTATTCCTATTTTATTTGGTACAGGATCTTGCCCAAAAATTTAGTTTAACATCCCTCATCCTTCATTACTGCACTTTTGCAACCAGTGTTTGGCGACCTATTTTTATAGTATTTTCATCTTGGTTGTAAGCAATAAATACTGGGAAGCTATCAAAGCAGTTTTTTTTCAATGAGATTTCCTGCCAAACTTTGTTCCTCTCAAAATGGTTTTGAAAAAGTACCTGAAGTACCAAATCTTTTGAGACTTGCCTACGGTGTAAATTGAGGAATATCATTGTAACCACAGAAGCAGACTAATGCTGCTAATATTGATCCTTTTACCAGCATGTGAAATAATTATATGAAGCATTTTTCCTTTCCTATATTAATCTGCCTTTTTCTACTACAGGTGGAAGTGAAGCCATATGTGCTCGATGATCAGATGTGTGATGAATGCCAGGGCACTCGTTGTGGTGGAAAATTTGCTCCATTCTTCTGTGCCAATGTTACCTGTTTGCAGTATTACTGTGAATACTGCTGGGCAAGCATACACTCTCGTGCTGGGCGAGAGTTCCACAAACCACTGGTGAAAGAGGGAGGTGACCGGCCACGCCATGTTCCATTTCGTTGGAGTTGAACCCCATGCCTACACCCAGCAGCAAGTACTGGAGTAGATAAAATCGAGGGAAAAAGCGCGCTGCCTCAGGGCTTGGTGTTCTGGAAATCTGTGCATTCGTCCTCGACTTTAACGAAGATATGGGTCTTTTTATTACTATTATTATTATTTACAGTCACATTACTGAACTCAGTGTCCAGTATAATACAAACCGGCAGAGTGTAACTGTACTGATTTTGCACTTTGATTCACACAAACATCTGCTTGGTACCTTAATTTCCTACACAAGACTTGTCACTAGTGACGTTACGTAGACTGCCATTCTCATCAACCTCCACTAGGTTGGTGTGTATGTGATGAAGATTTTTTTATTTTTATTTTTATTTTTTTTTTAAACTGGAGCATGCACTTATTTTCAGAAACTTAGATGTGCCCCTAGCAGATGACTTACCAAAGGTAATATTCACAAGTAGGTGGCAGATGTAGCAAAAACTTAAACAGATATTCAGCAATTGTTAGTTTGGGTCATTTAGAGTAGGAATAACCCTTAAAGAAAATAAGCCTTTAGTTGCTCTCCATTTTGAATTGTAAGGATGATACCTCATAAGCTGGATCAGATTTTTTGTTTCTTTTTGTTTTGCTGAGGGTTTTTTGTTAGGTCTTTTAGTGTTATGTAAATGTATGCTGCAATAGCTTTTGCTGCTATTAAAATGGTATTACTAATACCATAATACTCTATTCAGGCTAGGGTATCAATTAAAAACAGAATATGTGATTAAAATAGTGATGGCTGCTGAAAGGAGATCAGTATAGCATACAGAAAGCTTCCAAGGAAGGTCAATATATTTGACTGCATGTTTACTTAATCAGGTTGCTGCATGCAATAAATTTTATATATGTCTAATATAAAACTTGCCCACAGTGCACAAATTAAGAATCTATGTAGGCTACAAAATATTCAGTAAAGAAAAAATGATTACTGACTGGAGGAAGGCATGCCTCAGTAAATGTAATGCTTCTGAAATTAGGATCAGCCCATTACAGAATGACCTATATTACAAGAAATATAAAAACTAGCTGTAGGATATTCTTAAAACAAATTTGTGGATGGTAGATGAAGTACTTTGCGGTGCTCTGTTATATATTGTGCAATTTATTTTATATAGTAAAGTGATTATGTCTAGTACTGTGATCAAACTTAACTGTTAAAGCCTCTGTATCCAACATTAACACGTTTTTGACCGTTCATCGTAACAGGTACATAAAACTATGAGCTCTCTCTCTCCTAATGCTTACACCATTTATGTAGCTGCAGACCTTGTCCAGAAAACCAAAGAGCTCATAATAGCTTTCCATACACTACCAATTAGATAGATTGTCTGTCAAACTGAGAAACTAGGCACATTTTAAGGAAGTTAGGGAAAAAGTGGTGCTAAAGAAATGTCTGCACACGCAAGTTAACATGAAATGTCTGCTTTCTGGAAGTGGTGTCAATTCCTTTGATCCCTGGGTGTATCCTGTGAAGCTTGAATTCAGTTAAGACCTGCTAACAGAGTAGACATTTTTTTAGCATGTACTATGGGGCTGCAGATAGTAGTATATAAATATAAACACACTTGGTGTACTAATGATTGTGAGAATGTGTACACTATTCTGTTTTCGTTTTTCCTTTATTTTTTTCGTTTATTTTTGCAGTTCTGGGGACAATCTGACTGGATATGACACCGCATAGTAGACTTAAATGTTCTGGGTTTTGTTTGTTGTGATGTCCTTGTTTGTGTGTAACTTAGTAAGCTTTTTTTCAATGTTTAGTTGCAAGTATTGGCTTTGAAAGGAAATTTTTTCTGTTTTTGAGAAAAAGAAAAAAATAGTTTTTTACCAGTTTAAAATGCTTATTACAATTATCCCTTTCGAGGTTACTTCTGGGCATTTTTGTGATATTGCTTTTTCCAGCCCAGGTGTCTTTTTTCTGTTTTTTCATCTGTACAAGACATTTTGTTATGCACTACTTTTTGTATCTAGACAGTTTTCAACAGTTGGCTGATGATTTTTTTTTAAAGAAAAAGGCATGCTTTCTGACTGACATGATCTTTTGCAATACCTCAATTTTGAAATATAGGAAAGAAAATGATATTTTCTAAGTAAGTTTATTCAGAAAAATATATATTAATTTAATTCTGCAAGAAAAATGATTTAACAGATGGGTAACTTTATTTTTTTCATGCTTATTTGAGTTTTTGAAAATGAAGACGTTAGAGCTTTATAACTGTAATATTAAAAATCATAGCTAACCTACAGAAATCTACCTAATTATGTGAAAAAAGTAAACCTTTTTTGAAGAAATACCCCTCTTTCATGTAGAAACACACCCCAGAGAGAGAACCTGGAAGATGTGAAGTACAGCATAAAGTTGGATTAAAACTAAAAGTTATCAGTAAAGAAAAGGTTTAGACAACAACTCCATTTGGTGCTGAAAGTTGTGAATAGAAGGTGAAAAATATTTTCCCTTAATTTGTATATTTATAATCAAGTGTGATTATGCACGACTGACCAGAATTGTGAGAGTTCTTCTGTTTGTATTTTTTTAAAGAGAACTTTTTTAGTTTATTAAATTATAACATGCTCCCTTTTGTTTTGTAAATGAATGTGCCCCTGAGTTATTAATATGCTATATTAAGAGGGTCCTTCAAAAAAACATTATTTTTTAAAATAAGGAGTTCTGAACTGCAACTTGACTAAGAAGCCCCTGGGTACAACAGGTCCTATTGTGGCCTTTTATGATGTGAGACTTGAACTAGTCGAATTTTTTGAAGGCTAACCTAACCTCGACTATTTGTTGTTATGTGCAATACTGTTTGTACTGTTTGTATAAAAAAGAAAAATGAAAAGAAAAAAGGCATAAATCTTTATTGCAGATTTATTTTCATTGCAGACTTTAGACATTGTGATTCACTAAGATCATTTTTCTACTGTCAAATATGTACCTTTTCTTCATGCTGGTATTTTTTCAATAGTAATGTAGCCTTTGTACTGAGACAAATTTTCATTGTTATTTTTAGAAAGATTTTTTGCTAAGAAAAAATTAAACATATTTACATATTTTTCATTTTTATTTCGTATTTTCTTTAAGGAGTGCTTTCTCAACCATTAAAATAGTTGTTTCTGGGAGAGACTTTCATATCTGGTCAATGTCATTAATATTATTTTGTATTTTTACTTGGAATAAATTAATTTTATGATGCTAATTCTTTAAAAGTTTATTTTTTTCATTTCAGTTATTTTTGAAGCTAAAATCTTTGTAATATTGTTACTAAAGTGTCTAGTTTTTTGAAATGCAAAGCTTTATGTATTAACTTGCTGATGTGGTTTACAATAGTGTGGCAATGATGAAAATGGTTGGTTATGTAAAGTGATTGGAAAATTGTAATGAATAATTGGGCAATAAAATGACAGAATGAAGCAGAAAAATGTGATATTTTGAAAAGCCTTTTCCTTTATCAAAATGATTTAGGGAGATAATAGGGATGTCACAGTACCAGTTCGCTGTCTAGATTTATACACCACCAGTGCTGATTAAATACTATTGCTGTTATCATGAACTAAAATCTATTGAAATAATGGGTTTATGACCCTGCCTATTCAGCATAATACTCCATTGCTCTTTGCATCATGAACTTATCTAAACTCGTTTCAACACCAAGATGCAACATCCTAAAATCTTCCCCATCCACCATTGTTGTATTATGCCACTTCTATCTATGTATGTATGTATGTATTTATTTATTTATTTAACCCCTGCCTGCACAACCTCCCTCTACATACATCTGTTCCATGCTGTCACTGAAAATTTAAGTAACGACATCGCTTTCCAAAGGAGTTAATACTGTTGGAAGCTGCACAGTTAATGCACAATAATGCATGTAACTTTTTCGTTATAAAGCAGTAATCCACATTGCCAGCATATTTAAACATGTTTGGCACCTGTTTCTTTTGCCTTTCTGGTGTTTGTTCTCTTATTTTTTGTCTGTGGTATCAGTTACTGTCCATCAAAACGTATCTGTTCACTTCCTCTCTTTGCCTCCACTTACCTAGCCTTCTTTCCCCCATTCAGCCAGAAGAGCTGATGTACTAGAGCCAGTGACTCTGTCACTTAAAACAATCCAGACTAAAATTGGTGTTGCGTAAACAGGGCATACAATGACTTTCTCTAGATAGATCAGTTATTTCAACTAGTTATTGTTGACCTTTTCTACCTGATTTATGGAGTTGTGACAGAGGTCATCCATAACTTGTAGAAAGAAATGTGTCCAGAGTTGGCCTATTATGTATCCTCTGTGTTCAGTTCTGTAAGTAATGTATAGACTAGATCAAATAGTGAAGTACATTTTAGACTCAAATTAGGTACTACTGGTTGGAATGTACACAAATTGCAAATATAAAGAGGATTAAGGACTGAAGGGGGAATCAAAAAATTCCTGCTAAGTGGTACAAAGTTTATGCTTAGATTTCTGCCTACATGCTTGTATTTTATGGCCTGCTAGTAAGGCATGGGCTACAAAAAAAATTGTAATTGCAAATATGCAGATAGCAAATAACTTTGCTGATTTCACTATGTTAGAGTAGTAAAAAATGGCACTTAACTGGGAAAAGCTCCCATGTTAATATTTCAGTATTGTGACATCTCTACTTGCAAGGTATGAGTGAAAGATTAGTCACAGATTTGTACAACTGTCTCCTTTTGTTTAATCTGGCTTGTATGTAGTTGCTTTTTACACTGGTTTGTACAATGTCAGCTAAATCTTTCTTTTTTTACTTTAAACCAGGCAAACTTTCTTCTCAATCTCAACTGCTATAGTGTTCAGTCATACCACACAGTATTTTATAGTCATGTTGGTGACTACTCTATACCCCAAATGGGTAGCTGGTCAGGAATTATAATGATCGTGTAATTCTGGCGCACAAATTTATGTAAGAATGAAGTTTAGCAACAAGCAGAAAACCAGGGTGCTAATACAGGATAAACATTTCAGCTATTTTTTCTGGATGTAGTTCTGTTGGGGTATAAAGTATTAGGTATTTGTAACTTTGCTGTCAAAGTAATGGACATAACTTTCAGAGCGTTCACAGCTAAGATCTCTGTACTTGTTTTTCAATTAACTAATTTTAAATGTACTGTATCTTTTATTACATGTTCTCTTAGATTGTTTTTTGCTAGTAAACCTAACAAGGCTTCTTCCTTTTTGGCTTGGACTAATGCTTGTATGGAACTGCAGTACTGTGACTAAACATGGAGCTCAATTGCTGCTATTGCTTACAAATGCTTAAACTTTGTAGTTTGGACTTTATTTTTTTTCTGTAACAACTTATTAAATCTAGTTGTATGAATTACTGACACTTGTCATCCTTTGCATATGCTAAGGAAAGCTTGGGAAATGCATTAAACAATGTGTTAGATTAAAAAAAAATTCACACCTAATACTAAAAGCCTCTTCACTACTTGGATTAGTTAAAGAAATATGCCTACTCACCTGCATACAACCTCTACTAAACTCCTTTTAGTACAGGGTCCATCTTCTGCATCTCTCTTGCCTCTTCAAAATACCAGTTAACTTTTTGCTTTTGAAGTATGTCAAAATCTTCCTTAGATTAAGTTCTTAATGTTGTACTTAATTATTGCAGATAAATATAGAAGTAGGTACTATGCAAGCAATTATGTTTCTGGGTTTTGTTGTTGAAAGGCAAAACAAAACACACAATTGTATCAGAACCAAATCTCTCTTGGTACTAACAGAGTGGTTAGGGTTGCCAACTCTGACTGAAGCTATTCCAGGAGATTTGTTTTTCCAATGTGACATAATGTCATTAATAGGGGTGCACCAATTAGAGACTTTTTTTTTTTTTTAGGCCAATACCAATGGCTGATTTTTAATGAGCCATATTGGCTGATACCAATCCGATTGCTGATATGCAACCAGGCAGCTTGTAGAGCAGCATCCAGCTGGTAAGTCTGTTGTGAGGGAAGGGGCATGGGGGGGCAGATCGAGGCCCCTGTGGTGAACAAGGGAGTGGGGCTGGGGCAGGGCAGGCACTGCACAGCTGGGGCAGGGTGCACATGGGGCTGTGAGCAGCTCATCTGGGGGATGGCTCCCACTGCTGCATGCACCCCAAGAGGGCATAGGGGGAGTGTGTGCCCCCAGATCTGCATGTGAGGCAAAGGCAGGCTGCTGCTGTGGGCTGGGGCTGGGCCAAGGCTGTATTCAGGGTGGGTGGCGGTGATGCTGAGAGGGGAGCTATGGGGGGGGAGGGGGCGGGGGTGCTGCAGCCACCACAAAATTTGCTGTAGCCCCCTTCCCAGCACTGCCTCTGCCCAACCCAAGTGCAGCCCTGGCCCAGCCCCCCTGCCAAGAAGAGTCTGGTGCTACCCCTAGCCCACAGCGGCAGCCCGCCCTTGCCCTAAGCACAGATCCAGAGGCACATGCCACTCCCTGACCCCAAAGCCCCCCCGGACGAGCCACTCACGGCTCTGTCCCGCACCCTGCCCTGGGTGGGCAGCACCTACCCCTGCTCCAGCCTCATTCCCTCCCTCACTGCTGGGGCATTGATCTGCACCACCTGCCTCATACCCCTTCCTTCACAACAGACTTACCAGCCAGACCTGTCTCCACCAGCTCTCCACACTGCTGGGCTGTACTCCTGGCCACCTGTGTTCTGTGCTGTGGCTGTGCATATGTATGGGGCATTTATCAGCTACATTATCGGCCATATCAGCTAAAAATAGCAGATTGCCAATACTGTCAATTTTATATTGGTGCCAATCTGATATGGGACTGATGTGTCGGTGCACTTCCAGTCATTAATTGTACTGTTTAACCCATTCACAATATTAGTCTTCTGGATTGCTTTCAATAGTCACTGGATGCCAACTCCGGTAGACTGGCCAGTCCAGGAGGGTTAGCAACCCTAAGACTGGTATAAAACTGATTTCCCCACTTCTAGCAACATCAAAGAATTGTGAGCCCATAACTCTTACTTTTGTTTTTCCCCTGAAGTGTGAATACCTATTTCAGTACTGAGTTTTTGTTCCTTAGTTATGTTAAATGTGCTAGTTTTCAACTAGCAATAATCATACCTAGGCTGGGCCTCATTGGCTATGATTCTGCCATTGTGCAAAGCATTGGTTATGATACTGCCACTGTGCAGTGTTTTGTAATAACATACAAAACATAATTGCTTGCATAGCATACATTTACATTTGTAAATGCACGCTAAGTAGATTATGAAAAGCCTGTTTGACAATTTTTAACTGGAATAAGGATTTCCCAATATGTTCCAGTGCTGTAGACGGTGAAAAACCCTGAACAGGTCTCTTGTGGCACCTGGCACTTCTAAGTGTGTTAACCTTTTACAATATTTCTCCAAGTATCTTTTTAAAGAATGAACTTTTGAGATTCCTTCCCTGATTTTTAACAAACTAGATATGTAATTTCCATTGCATGTACCACAGAAGCCTCAAGGTTACAAACTGGATTGATCAACCACAAAAACATCAGTACATTTTAATTTTTAATATCTTGAGTTTTAAGATGGCAGAGCAGGGCAAACTCGATGAAACAGGCTGCATGGCTCAGAATGGTTATTTCCTTGGAAGGGGCTAGACAAAGGCTTGGCTGGGATGATATAGTTGGGGGTGGTCCTGCTTTGAGCAGGGGATTGGACTAGATGACTTCCTGAGGTCCCTTCCAACCCTAATTTTCTATGATTCTAACTCCTGAAAAGTGGATCTGTGCACTCTGCAACTTATTGGCAGACTGCAGAGCATACTAGCTAGCCAAGTACAAAGGGGTGTTTAAGTTCACCTCTTGCATTTTCTCAGTCCTGGTGCAATCTCTGTGCACTGTTGGTCCCTCTGTGCTGAGCCAATTAATTATAAAGGGAAAACCTTACCACCTAAAATTCTACTATTCTACTGATGCAAGTAACACTACTTTTGTCTCAATGCTTTTTGTGACTGATTGTCTGAAAACAGCACAATGCCCCGCTAGAATTATCTGTACTAAAAATGATAGGCTAACTGCAGTACTTATGGCTGGATTACAATAGGAAACGTACGTGGAAACCTAGGAAGGTTCTGTGGGCAAGGTAAGTATTCTAAATGATTGCTTCAGTGTGCAAAGCCCCATTAGAACAGTTCATGGAAGAATAAAAACTGTTCATTAGAACAGCGACTTTAGCGACTTGGATGAGGGAGTGAAATGTACTCTGTCCAAGTTTGCAGATGACACAAAAGTATAGGGAGAAGTGGACACGCCGGAGGGCAGGGAACAGCTGCAAGCAGACCTGGACAGGTTGGACAGAAAATGGGCAGAAAACAACAGAATGCAGTTCAACAAGGAGAAATGCAAAGTGCTGCACCTAGGGAGGAAAAATGTCCAGCACACCTACAGCCTAGGGAACGACCTGCTGGGTGGCACGGAAGTGGAAAGGGATCTTGGAGTCCTAGTGGACTCCAAGATGAACATGAGTCGGCTGGGTGACGAAGCCATCAAAAAAGCCAATGGCACTTTATCATGCATCAGCAGATGCATGACGAATAGGTCCAAGGAGGTGATACTTCCCCTCTATCGGGCGCTGGTCAGACCGCAGTTGGAGTACTGCGTGCAATTCTGGGCGCCGCACTTCAAGAGGGATGCGGATAACCTGGAGAGGGTCCAGAGAAGGGCCACTCGCATGGTTAAGGGCCTACAGACCAAGTCCTACGAGGAGAGACTAGAGAAACTGGATCTATTCAGCCTCCGCAAGAGAAGGTTGAGAGGCGATCTTGTGGCTGCCTATAAGTTCATCACGGGGGCACAGAAGGGAATTGGTGAGGATTTATTCACCAAGGCGCCCCTGGGGGTTACAAGAAATAATGGCCACAAGCTAGCAGAGAGCAGATTTAGATTGGACATTAGGAAGAACTTCTTCACAGTTCGAGTGGCCAGGGTCTGGAATGGGCTCCCAAGGGAGGGGGTGCTCTCCCCTACCCTGGGGGTCTTCAAGAGGAGGTTAGATGAGTATCTCGCTGGGGTCATCTAGAGCCAGCACTTTTTCCTGCTTATGCAGGGGGTCGGACTCAATGATCTATTGAGGTCCCTTCCGACCCTAACATCTATGAATCTATGAATAAAACAGTAGATACACTTGCTTAATCATATGAAAAGTAGCAGCTTACTTCGTGATACCAGGAAACAAGCAGACAACTCAGAAGTGGAAATGTTTGGAACTTGCAGTAAGTAGCTAGAGACCTTTTAGATGCTGATCTTTCTAGAATGCAGTAAAAAGTGGTGTTAAAAATTCTGACTAATCCCTAAAAACTGGAATCCTGGTAACGAATATGTTATATCTTTTCACAGAGGGCTTGGAATTTGGGTTATTTTCAAAGCTGAGTTTAACAGGGCAGCTCCTTAGAACCATTTTTCAGTGCATGAATACTTGATCTTAGCCCACAAGAGGCTGAAAAGCTAATATACCTTAAACTGCCTAGGAACAACAACTCTGCAAATCCTACTTTTTGTCCAGATACGATCGTAATTCTGATTTACTCCCTCCCACTATCACAGTGTACTGAGAACAGTAGCCCCTAGGGCTGCTGCTTACTTGCAATGCATCATCAGAGGAGAGGTAATCAAGCCCCTGGGAGCAGCTGGGAACCAGAGACCAGAAGGTGATAACGCAACTCTCTTGTACAAATTTAGTTTAAACCAATTTAGTCAAACCAGTGTGAAAGGCTGTGTCCTCCCCCATAACTTTGATTTTTGGCTTAGCTTGGCCTAACAAAAAGAAAAGTTTCCATATGACTTTCAAAAGTTTGACTACATGTGTTTTAAGAAAGCAATTTTAAGTTAAACCAGTAAAACTTTCTTATGTTAACAAGACCTGGAAGAGACATTCTGTCCCTTACACAGGGCCTGTGAACCACAGCTGAACCCTTAATACTTTAATCTGCTTTCCTCACTATCTAAATTTAAAAAAAAAAAATCACACAAAAGTAGGCAGGAAGAAGCCTGGCTGCATCTCTTGGGGTGTTTAAAAAAGAGAGAATACATGTTATTTCTTCTAAACGGGTGATATTCTGTGTTTCATCCATACAAATGAGGCCTTCTAAACGTATACTACTAAAACCTTGGTACCACAAACAATGTGGAGTTTACCAAGTCACAAGCCATTTCAAAGTGTATACCCAATTCAATTAATCATTGGTTTAAACTTTTAAGGATTTTTTTTTTAACTGTAAGAGTGACATTTCTGTGCAATGAAATGAGGAAAATGTTTGAATTGGCTAAAATCCAATGGATTAAAATGGCTAGGGTTTTTTTTCTGTGTTTGCTTCAGCATGAGTAAATAGGTTTTTATTGCAACAATGTGGTATGTTTCCAAGCTATAAACCAATGCAACAATTTTTAGCTCTAAAATAAGTTAAAGACA